TATATATATATCCTTAGCACCATAAATTTGAATGATTAAGAGAAACATCTTTGGAAGCTTCCCATTAATCTATCATCCGAGGCTTTGACCAATGTCAAGTGCAATAATAAGAAATAATTATTTGTTAGAAAAAAAAAACTATTTCTCAGCTGAATTTGTCCAAGTTGAATAGACTACAATTATAATTTTATAAATAAAAAAAAAATGTCTAGTTGGTGATTTATTATCATATCAAAATTATAAAAATATATATACTAATTCAACAAAATACAAAATGACGTGGCTTGCAAGCCACAACTTCACACGTCCAAATTTTGTAAATTAATAAATTTTATATTATGCGATTATTACAAAATATTTTAATAAATATTTTATACAAATCATCTCAAGCACAAAGTCAATCAAATAACAAAAATGTGAAAATTATTTTATACAAATAATATGCATGTGACCAATGATTTTAACACATACATCATCAATTTTAAGTTATTCTAAAGAGAATATGTTTAGAGATCCAGAACCATAATTAATATTCGTAGTATGGGAAAATCAAGGGCTTGATAAGAAGAGTTTCGGATGTTAATAGGAAGCAAGCATCAAATGTTAGTCGATAATATGCACCGATAGATGGTCAGTAAGGAGCATTAGAACTTAAGTGATTGTCTAGTTGCTAGTGTCTGTCATTGGACATTACTTTTTGGTAATCATCACACAATGGTTGATGGAAATGTCGAAGGTTAGTTAATGTTAAGCAACCTAACTCATTCATTCTATTTGTGGAATAAGATATTAGATAAATTAAAAGGCTTGTACTAGATGCTATCGATTAATATACAAATGCCACCTCTGAGTAATGCGAGTGATTTGCATGACTAAGTTTTTCTCCATATAAGAATGGGGATCAAATAATCAGAAAGGCTTGCATTATGGTTTGACAGCTAAAGGACATCAAATGTCGACATTCGACAAACACCATGTGGTTAAGATGGAAAAAATCAATGTTGCTTAACGAATAATGTTTAATAGTCGCGACTTCATGTATTAATGTTAGTTGATAGTGGGCATCGGGCTATAATTGATAAAGTTATCAAATTTATTAAGATCAAGAATTCTCTCCAACAATGCTTTTCAACATGCAAAAAGAAGACTTTTTTTTATAAATGTTTAAAGGAGGTGTATGAACCATTTCTACCGTAGAACATGGCAATTCATCCGACTGTCTGAATTCATTTCTCTTAATCATTTAATATTTAGGTAGAGATCATTGATTATTAGACAATTTAAAAGGCTTGTACTAAATGCTAGTGATTAATATACATGTCACCTTTGAGCAATGCGAATGATTTACATGACCAAGTCTTTCTACATATAAGAGTGGAGATCAAATAATCGGAAAGGCTTGCATCATGGTTTGGCAGCTAAAGGACATCAAATGTCGATATTCCACAAACATCTTGAGGTTAAGATGCAAATTATCAACGTTGCTTGATGAATAGTGTCTAATAGTGGCAACATCACTTATTAATACGTGTTAGTGGGTATTGAATGGCTTTTTTCAACATGCAAAAAAGAAGACTTTTTTTATAAATGTTTAAAGGAGATGTATGAACAATTTCTACTGTAGAACATGGTAATTCATGCGACTGTCTGAATTCATCCCTCTTAATCATTTAATATTTAGTTAGAAATGTCAAGCTTTAAAGATCATTGATTATTAGCATGTTGAATTCATCTTATCGAGACACTCATTTTGACTATAAATATATAAAATTTGCAGGATAATTTAACCTTAAAAAGGCCAAAAAAAATCAAAATGTGCTCCTAGATAATTGATTTAAACTTATAAAATATTGGACCATAAATTCTTATTAATTCATTTCATTATAATTTAATGATTTTACATGAAACTTGAACAACTGAGAGCGGACGCCAAACCTTCTCTTTCAATTGTTCTCATGGTGGCATGCACGACTTACAAGCATGCTAAAGATTTGACTTCTGACCCTGTGAAGGATAAGAGCTCCTACTTATAGTTTATTATATAGCTGAAGTCAGCTTTTCATCAACCTTTATATTTTGACTTTTGAGTTTTCTCCCTTTTTAAGTGAGAGAGAGAGAGTTTCTCATAGTAATTAATAAGTCAATTAAATCTTTGTATGTTGAACGGGGTCCCCACATTCAAGTAAAATAGGAAGAATGGAAGCTAAAAGTCATGAGCTATGCACAAAATTATAAATACTATTGGAGGCTCGAGAATTTTCTCGTTGTAGGCTAATCGTATTGTCATCGTGTAAAATGCATGGGTAAACTTACTTAATATACGACCATTATTAACATAATTCAAGCTTTGATATTCTTACTCTAGTACATTGGTTAATTAGATGTTGAAATATTAAAAGATGCTATGATATCAGATTCTGAGTTTTTCTTCAGAGGATTGGATATCTGGTACAAATGATATGCAGAAGTTACCTTTTTTGGATCATTGTTGGTGTGATCAAGTTTTGAGATGCAAGGATTTTCTTGGGGTATACATTGAATATCTATGAGGTGCAATAATGAGTTTGTTTGAAGAAGTCTCGTGTTGTATAATAGGACTTCTGATCGTTCTTCTCGATTATGACATTGGTTGCTTCGTATTGTTATCCTACCAAGAACTTTTTTCTTAGAATTTCTTTTTGTTAGTATAATACCTTTCTGCTTTGTACGTGGGACTAGTTAAGAATCGAGAGATAATTTAGAATTGTCTTATTTATATGTCATGCATCACTCTTTTAATAGTAGATTAATCCTCTCTATGCTTTAATGTCTTATATCTAAACTATCTGAATTTTATTATAATCAAAATTAAAAAGAAAAAAAAAAGTTAATTTTAAGATAAGAATGAGTGGCCGTGTTATTTAAACTGTGATATCAAAAAGTGGTCCCACGACAAAAAAAAAATCAAATGAATTATTAAATTGTTTGATTTGGTAATATTTAGACACAAGTGTTATGAAATATTAGTATTAGTAATATTAAATATCACAAATTTCTTTAAATGTTTATAGTTGTTTTTTTTATTATCTTATATAAAAAAATTTATCTTGAATTTAAATAAATACCTATAATATAAATAAATAAATAACTTTTGTCTTATATAAACAAACTATTAAGTACTATTTTTTTTATGTATTATATATAATTATTTTTAAATAAGCTAATGAGGAAATTAATTTGATTTATAATTTCATTTAGTTTAATTTAAGATATAATTTCTATATTTGAGGGAGGCTTCATATCCTAATTAATTTGGTACAAATTATAATATTTATGGAAAGGAGGAGAAATTGAAGATTGGGGAAAGCTTCTTTCCGGTGTTATTGGCAACCGAACACAAACCCAAACACCTAAATAACGAAGCCAAATCCTGTGAAGCAGCCGTCTTCATCACACCGTCGAACAACTGGCACAAACCAACGGTCCGATTATAATGTACTCCTAGGAAGAGAGAGAGAGAGAGAGAGGTGACGGAGAGGCCAAAGGATCTGTCTCTCTCTCATCCTTCGCCCGCTTCTCCTTAGCTTTTCTCCTGTAGTTTTTTGTCTGGAATCATAGGAAGGGAGTGGGAAGAAGGGAGGGAGGAGAAAGGAGGCAGAAGAAGGGTCTTCTTTGGCTTGAGCTTTGACCCGTTCTTCTTAGCACAATTAGCCGATTCAAATCCTCTTTGATCCCCTTCTGACTTCTCCTTCTTCTTCCCCATTCGACCATTAAATCCCATCCATCCCACCTTCGATTAGCCGCCTACCGAAGACATATCTCTTGTTCTATCTTCCAAAGCTCGCACCTTTCGTCGATTAAGGCCTCCTTGCCGACACCGGGGGGAAAAAAATCCGATCTTGGTGTAAAATCAAAGCCCTAGAGAACAACAACCCAATCATCAGATATGGGTAATTGCTGCGCGACGCCTGTTGATTCTTCAGAGAAGGAAAACAAGGCGAAGCAGAAGAAGGGGAAGAAGCCCAACCCCTTCTCAGTTGAGTACAATCGAACGCCGAACTCTGGCGCTTCTAAGCTCGTCGTTCTCAAAGAGCCCCCCGGCTGCGACATCGGAAGCCGCTACGAGCTCGGCGACGAGCTCGGAAGAGGAGAGTTTGGGGTGACATATCTCTGCACTGATAAGGAGACTCGGGAGAAGTTTGCCTGCAAGTGTATTTCGAAGTTGAAGCTGAGGACTGCTGTGGATATTGAGGATGTGAGGAGGGAGGTTGAGATTATGAGGCATATGCCCCCTCATGTTAATGTTGTGAGCTTGAAGCATACTTATGAGGACGATAATGCCGTTCATCTTGTCATGGAGCTCTGCGAGGGTGGAGAGCTCTTTGATAGAATTGTTGCCAGGGGGCATTATACGGAGAGGGCTGCTGCTGCTGTTACGAAGACCATCGTTGAGGTTGTGCAGGTGAGATCATAGTTCTATTATAGTTTATTTATTTATTTATTTATTTTTCTTTTTGTTTTTTAATGTTTGGTATTGAGCTTTTTAGAGATGTTGCAGGATGTTTTCTTGATTTTCAGCTTGATTTTTTTTTTAATTTTGTGCAAATTTGTTCTTTATGCGATTGAGATTCATGCATGTGTCTATGGTGGAATTCTAATTTAATAAAGGAGGCATCTTTACAATTTATGTCTATTTTATCAATTTTCTCTCCTTATATGTGAATGGTGGAAATTTGTCTTCTTCGGCTGTCTTCCTCATGGTTTCGTCCGTTTCGTTCAATTAGTTTAATGATGTTTCACCATGATTTGATGTTGGATTGATTGTGGTTTGAGCTTTATGTATAGCTTCTGTTTGCACAACACTGTAGAATATAGCATAAAACAATAAGTGATTAGTTTTTTTTTTTTTTTGGTTTACAGAACTCTATGAATGAAGCCTAGGGCTTTCAAACGGCTCGTTGTTCGTGAACAGCTAGTGTTCGGCTCGAAAAGAAGCTCTGGCTAAGTTGGCGAGCCGAACGCGAACAACACGAATAAATTTTTGTTCGTTCGTATTCGGCTTGTTTTGGCTCGAAATACTACTAATCAATTATATATATATCTTTGATGAGTAGTATTTTTTTAAAAAAAAAATTTACTACAAAGCTACAAAGATTTATAATCAATTAAAAGTATTAATAAAGAAAATAGAATAAAAATTATTAAATTAGATTCAAACGATATTTTAAATCTTGCCCCAATCCTTAACTTCTTATGACCATGTGATTAGGGTTGCCAAAATGATTTTTTGTTCGTGAACGGCTCGTGTTCGGCTCTCTAACCAAACGAGCCGAACACAAACACAATTTTTGAGCTCGAAATATAAAAGAGCCGAACACAAACTAAGCCTGGGCTCGCTCGTGTTCGGCTTGTTTACACCCCTATGAATGACTTTACTCTGTATGGCTGGGTTAGTGTTTTTTTATTGTTAATTAGTGTTAATTATTGTTAATTCGTATTTAAACTAAGTATATTCATAGCGTTTTTCTATAAAGTTGCTCTATTTTTTCCTATTTTTTTATGTTGTTCTTGCAGCATTCAGGCTTTATTAGCTGTAAATTTTGGCAATCTGACAATTAGTTTGTTGAATTTATTAAGCAAATATGTACGGTGAACAATTCTTTATAAAAAGTGTGATGTTTTTTTTAATTTGCTTTAATGAGCTTTTCTCATCTGAAGTTGATTGAATCATGAAAACAATCTTTAGCATTTCTTGTTCTAAAATGTGTTTGAAGCCTGACAATGTGTTATTTGTTATGCGATCAACAGATTTGCATACATACCACTCAATTCTTATATATCTACATATCTAACTCCCAAAATTTGATATTTAAATTTATAGTACTTTGGCGTTCTAATCCCACGCATGAAAATTTATGTTTCACTCTTAAAAAGTTGAGAAAATATTACTTCCCAACGCAGCACGTCTGGATTGCCAACTACGGGGCATCACACCACATACATCTCATTTGTGGGTGACGGGTGCCGCATTGTCGGCCGTCCGGGTGGACTTTCGAATGCAATATTTTCTCTAGAAAGTTAGTAATAGTGGTGTTTTTTAGGTCATGTTAAAGATTTGGCTTCTATGAATGTAAATATGAAAGTTTAGTTGCTAGATATGTAAATACGTAAGAATTTTGTGGTGTGTATGTACATGCCCCTATTGATATCATATTTTAAAATTTTAATACACTTCATTATTTGGTTGCATTTCGTATAATGAGATAGCTTGTTTATAGATGAGATTATATGATACATTTTATTATAATTTTTTGCTTTTTTTGGTTCAGGTGTGTCACAAGCATGGAGTGATGCATAGGGACCTCAAGCCTGAGAACTTTTTGTTCGCCAATAAAAAGGAAACTGCTGCTCTTAAAGCTATAGATTTTGGCCTCTCTGTATTTTTCACACCCGGTATGTCAGAGTGATTTATTCATGGTTAATTCAAACTTATAATTTCAAACTGTTATTTCCTTACTGAATGTGAAATGAGAGCTTGACATCATTGTGGAAAGTGATAGTTTTTACCGTTTTCTGATTAGATTTTTTACTGTTTATACGTAACGAACAGGTGAAAGATTCACCGAGATTGTTGGAAGTCCTTATTACATGGCCCCGGAGGTTCTGAAGCGCAATTATGGGCCTGAAATTGATGTATGGAGTGCTGGAGTTATATTATACATTTTGTTATGTGGCGTGCCGCCATTTTGGGCAGGTAATTTTCTTCTACGGATGTCCTGAATGTTTATTGAGTATAAGATTTAGTCTGAGTATGTGATCTCATCATTTGATTTGTGATTTATGATTGATGCAGAGACTGAACAAGGAGTAGCTCAAGCAATTATTCGTTCGGTTTTAGATTTTAAAAGAGATCCATGGCCTAAGGTTTCTGATAGTGCGAAAGATCTTGTGAAGAAGATGCTTGATCCCGATCCAAGTAAACGTTTATCGGCTCAAGAAGTGCTAGGTAAGCCGCTTGGGTCAAAGTTGTTACTTGTGATTTAATGCTTACGAACTGCTATTTTTTGTGCTTTTTATTTTTACATGTTTATTCCATCTTGATACCTTTTTTAAGCCTACATATATAGCAATGGTGAATGATCGCAATCAAAACTTAACTAATATCAGAAATTTATATAATATGCTTCTAGAGAACAATATCAAAATGGTCATTTGACTCTTTACAGTGAGTCATATTAGTCTCAGAGTTTATAAAATGATCAATTTAGTCTCCAGACTTATTTTTTATGGGTTAAAGTAGTCCCCAATAAAGATTATTTTAGCTTTCATTAAAATAGTCCGGGGACTATTTTTGTACTTTTATAATCTCTGGGACTAAAATGGCTCAAGTAAATAGTCTGGGGACTATTAGACTATTTTGGCACTTTACTCTATCCATTTATGATGGATAAATAAGCATTTCACCAATATTATAATGTTTTAAAGATCACAACATTCTAACTGCTTGATATGGTTGAATTACTCTTGCAGACCATCCTTGGTTGCAGAATGCGAAAAAGGCTCCAAATGTGAATTTGGGCGAGACAGTTCGAGCGAGGCTCCAGCAATTCTCTGTTATGAACAAGTTCAAAAAGAGAGCTCTCAGGGTATAATTCTTTCCACATATACTGTACATTTTCACAAACCAACCTGTTTTTTTTTCAATTTCAGGAAGCCATATCTGAAATCAAACATACTTTGCTTCAAAATATTCTATGTTTTAACTTCATCCTTCTGATGAACTAACCATTCCAACATATTGTGACTGATTTGCAGGTTATTGCTGAGCATTTAACTGGGGAGGAAGTGGCAGGCATAAAGGAGATGTTCAAGAAGATGGACATAAACAACAATGGAAGAATCACCCTCGAAGAGCTCAAGTATGGACTTCACAAACACGGGCACCAGATTCCGGATGCAGATGTGCAGATATTAATGGAAGCTGTAAGTTTCTTGTCTCCCATTATGTTTAATTTTAATCATCTTTTTTAGTCGGAAATTTTTTTTTTTTTTTAAATGTTGATAATTTTCATTCAGGCTGATGTTGATGGAGATGGAACTCTTGAGTATGGGGAATTTGTGGCTCTTTCGATTCATCTACAGAAGTTGGGCAATGATGAACATCTTCACAAAGCCTTTGGTTTCTTCGATCAGAACAAAAGTGGATTCATTGAGATTGAAGAGCTCAGGGATGCACTGCAGGATGATTTGGGTTCCAACAGTGAGGAAGTCATCAGCGTCATTATCAATGATGTGGATACTGATAAGGTTTGTTTATCATTTTATATCAGAATTTATTCAGAATCATCCCAGCAATGGCTTCTCACTTGCATTCCCCTTCTCCTTCTTCCCCACAGGATGGAAAGATCAGCTATGAGGAATTTGCAGCCATGATGAAAGCTGGCACAGATTGGAGAAAAGCATCAAGACAGTATTCTCGTGAGAGATTCAACAGCCTCAGCTTGAAGCTGTTGAAGGATGGATCTCTGCAGCTGAATAATGATGGCATAAAAGCCAAATAAGAAGAAGAAGAGAGAAACCGTGACAAGCATCTTCTTTTTTATGGATTTATGAGATTCATTCGAGCTTTTTTTACTGGTTATTCACTCGGGGCCATTATATTCTTTCATGCTTCTCCTTCTCTCTTCTGTTCTGTTCAGTAGGAAGCTGTTTAAGCTTTTTTGTTCTTGCTGGAGCTTAAGCAGTTGTTTTACTTGAATGCTAAGAGTATCTGTATCAAAGCCCAAAAATGAAATGAAAGCTGGGCTTTCTGTAAATATGTGATGCTTACCATGAATTTGGTGCTTTGGTGACTGAGAAGACTTGGCCTTCTATCTCTGAACTTCCTGTGTGTTGTTTTGTAGTTTCTTTTTTTTTTAATCTTTTTAATGATTCTTAACTGTAATTTATCTGATGTAATAGTTTTGAGGACTTGTAATTCTTGGAAATGATTTGTATTTTTGTGTTTTTCACCGTTTGGTTCTTAATCATGCATAGCTTCCATTTTTTTGTCAAGTTCCTTCTTTGGAAATGGCTTTGTTTGCTTTCAAATCAGTAGCAATTTTTTTTTATTTTATACTTTGAATGGTTATAGGAGGATTTATGGGAGAAGTTCATCCACCTCTGATTTTACAGTTGATGAACCTAATTAATAGATTAATACATAGGAAGAACTAACAGAATTTGTAATATATTGATAATATTTAGGAAATTTTACATACAAATAACACAACAACAACATTTTATTTCATTAAATTTATATGAATTCTTTTTCTCCGTTGTCTTATGTTGTGTTTAGAGTTGTTTAATAGTAATAAATTAAGATAATTTTTAATTACTTTGGGGATGGCTCTCAACTATTCAAAAAATAAATACATATGAAATACTTAACATTTAAATTTTGATTTTTATATTTTTACCATCCAAATTTTTAATTTCATGTCACTGTTTTAATTTTAAATAATATAAGATACACTTTTTCATGCATGCATGGATGAGACATGAAATTTGTAAAAATTGAAATTTAGATAGCGTGCGTGTGTGTGATCACTTAGTTCAGAATTTCGAATCTACGTTGACATATTTGGTCTTAAGAAGATGATACTTAAATTATTATGCATGTTAGGGATGACTGGAGGGTCGTATGATAGACTCTTATCATTACTTTAATATATACATAAATAATAGATGAGTGGGATGCATGTAAATTTTCCTTTGTTTATTAGCGTTCTAGGCTTGATGCTTGTTCACTGATGTCCACTGGCCGTTGGGCTTCAGGAAATGGCAAGCTGCAAGGTTCTAAATCCTTGCATTCCTCCTCTTCCCTCTGACAATTCCCGAATCAGGGGCAACCGAAGAGTTTGGAATTCGACCCTGAATCACCACATTAAGCTCAAGAATGACGAAGCAATCCTCCAATCCTATTCAGAAATGGAGGCCACAGGCGTTTTTCCATCCCAAAACCAGCTGCCCGTAATTCTCAAAGCCTGCGCGAGGCTTAAAAACTTCGAATTTGGTCTAAAAATCCACTCCACCATTGTGAAATCTTGTCTGATTGATGACACTAAGGTCATGACGGCGCTCATTTTGTTTTACTGCAAATGCGGGTTTCTAGATGCTGCACGCAAGCTGTTTGATGATATGGCTGACAGAGATTTGGTGTCTTGGAATGCAATGATTTGCGGTTTTGTTGATAATTTAAGGAGCATGGATGCTCTATCTCTGTTTCGTAGAATGAGAAGCTGTGGTTTGAGGCCAAATGGAGTTACTTTGGTTAGTCTTCTTTCCGCTTGCTGGGAAATGGAGGAAATTAAACTAGGCCGGGAGATTCATTGCTACTGCTTGAGAAACGGTTTATTTGATTGTGCTGTTCATGTAGGTACCGCTTTGATTGATTTCTATTCCAAGTTTGATGCAATGGCTTCCCGCTCAGTGTTCAATTCGATGGAGGTTAGAAACAACATCACCTGGAATGTTATCTTATGTGCTTATCTTTATGCGGCAGATTTTGATGAAGTTATGATTCTCTTCATTGAAATGCTCGTTGAAGGTATTGATTTCGACTCTGTTGCATTTCTGGCAATCCTTGAGTCTTGTGCAGATCATGGATGCTTAGAATGTGGAAAACAGATTCACCAATTAGCAATCAAACATGGATTTCTCTCTGACATTTATGTAGCCAATGCATTGATTGTTATGTATGGAAAGTGTGGAGATGTTGACTCATCCTATCAAGTTTTTGACACTGTGGTTTCTGCAGATCTCGCCTTGTGGAATGCGATGCTCGCTTCATATAGGAACAGTTCCTGTTTTAGCAAAGCATTTGATTTATTCAAGAAGATGCAGGAGAACAGAATTACAGAGAATTCAGTCACTCTTGCCACCATGCTTTCCATTTGTGCTCAGTCTGGCAGACTTGAAATGGGTAAGGAACTGCATGCTTATGTTATAAAAACTGGATCTGTTAAGGATTCTGGCGTAGAAAACGCCTTGCTAAACATGTATGTTGAATCCAGCTCTATATCATGTGCTTGTAGATTGTTTAACAAAATGGAGAGAGTTGAGGTTTTTTCATGGAACACGCTAATCAAGGCATTGATTGATAATGGATGCACATATCAGGCTTGGGAGCTGTTTGATAAGATGCATGATGGTGAAGAAAAGCCCAATTCTTTCACAATGGTTTCTCTTCTTTCAGGATGTGAGGAATCTTCAGTAAAAGTAGGGAAGTCAATTCATGGATACATAGTAAGATATGGATTTGATGTCAATCCATCATTATGCACTGCACTAACTAACATGTATATGAGGTGTGGAAATGAACCAGCTGCTGTTTATTTTTTTTGGACTTGTTCTGATAGAGATTTAGTGTCTTGGAATGCTATGATTGGAAACTATTTTCATGCTGGTCAACCCTGTAAAGCTCTTTCTTTCTTCTCCCAAATGCTTTCTGAAGTAAAACCAAACGGAATCACTATTATCATTTCTCTTCTAGCTTGTGCAAGGATGGCGGATTTGCCGAAAGGGAGAAGCTTGCACACATACATCAGGAGAAGAGAGATGAATCTGGATTCTGATACATGCTTGGCGAATGCTCTCCTGACCATGTATGCAAAATGCGGAAGTTTAGAGGATGCAAAAAAAATATTCAGGAATCTAAAGAAAAAAGATGTTATATCTTGGAATGCAATGATTGCAGCATATGGAATGCATGGAAAGGGAAATGATGCAGTAGAGTTGTTCTATCGAATGGTGGAAGCTGGTGAGAAGCCTACCAGTGTGACTTTTGTGTCAGTTTTGTCTTCCTGCAGTCATTCAGGTTTGGTTGAAGAGGGATACAGGCTGTTTCATTCCATGGTTGAGGACTATGGGATAGAACCTCAGGTTGTTCATTATGGGTGCATGGTTGATCTTTTTGGACGTTCTGGTTTCGTTGATGCTGCTCTGAACTTGGTTCAATCAATGCCGATGGAACCGGATGCTAGTTTATGGAGAGCTTTGTTGGGTGCTTGTAAATTGTGCTGTAACTTAGAAATGGCGAGGTTTGTTGCGCAAAAGTTGAATGAGTTGGAACCTCAGAACAGTGCAAATTACAAGCTTTTATCAAATATCCATGCTGCAGCTGGGAGGTGGGAAGATGCAGAAGCATTAAAAAAAGGAATCAAGGAAAGGGGATTGCAAAGCAGCACTGGAACAAGCTGGATGGCTAGCAAAAATCAAATTCATTCTTTCACTGCAGGAAACTGGTTAGTTTCTCAAACTGATGTTTTTAATGAAAAACTGGAAGGGTTATTGGATGATTTGATGAAAAACGCGATGATGTCTTGATTTAGGACATTAGCTTGCAATAAACATCAGCTTATACACAGTTTGATGCTTATTGTGATAGCAAAGGTGCCTTAATTCTCACAAAGCTTTAGAACCAAACCTTTCTCTTGTAAAACCCCTCAAAAAGGTCCCCTATTTTTATGACCCAAATAAAGTATGTATATAACATTTTTTTTTCTGAATTTTATTTTACAGTTTCCATTTTTTTGTTGTAAACACGTGCTTCATTTGTAAATCTTTGGTCTCATTTGCTCAGCTGGTTTAAGAGGAGCATCGAACAGCTTCTCCGTAATCAGTAGGGAAAGGTTTAATTCTCAATAGGGAAATGGAGACGTCTTTTTCCAATTGCTACTTAGCGGTAAATAGAAAAAATAATCAAATGGACCTACTTGTGTAATTAGTAGAGAAGTGGGCCTACTTGGGAATTAAACCTTCATTAATATAATGAATATGCATATTTGCCTTTCATTATTCATAATTGGTGTTTGATGTAACCAAAGGAGCCAATCTAATGTGAAAACCCCATAAGTAGGAGGAAGCTGAATTCTTAAACATTGAGGAGTTGTTTGGTGTATTTATTACAATTTTATCATAAATATTGAAGTTATGCTTGCTCAAGTGGGAACACTCTTGGGATGTGTGATCTCTTGGAAAGTTACACCAATAGGACAGAACAGTGAGACCAGCCAAAACGAACAATAGCTTGATAGATCAAAGTTTGGGTTGTTACAAATGCTATCAAAGCATTACACTAGCCTGGAAATAGCAAGATATGTCTGGTGGATGATTCGAGGTTAAGAGAACTGACGAGGATGACAGTTGCTTAAGTGAGGGGGATTGTTAAGCTTCTCGAGTAGAATGAAGTTGAACTCTTAAACATTGAGACGCATTTTGGTGTAGCGGTAGGAATTTCATCAGAAACTCCAAATTATACTCTTGCAGAAGCACTCCTTAGATTGGCAACTTCCTGGGAAGTTAGACCAATGGGACAATAGCTCGATAGATGAGATTGGGTTGTTACATATAATCTCTCCATGATAATGAATCACATCTAGCTGAGTGTGTCATAAGAGGACAATTCTTCCAAATCCCAAATTCAAACAGAACATGGATTTCTAGATTAAACATTTTTAACTTGTATGATAAAAGACCACTAGACCAATAAACAATAATAGCTTATACAATAGCTGAAAATTTTATTTACATGATTGTAATGTGTGCAATAAAAAAATTATATGCACCCTTAGAAGTTAGAACAAAACTGTCAATTAAGGCAAAATATTTACATTTTATATAGATATATTGTTGAATCCAAATCTATCATTTGGATCGTGCCCGAGGAAAAGAGCATAAGAACCCAAGGAAAGGAAAAAGAGAAAGAGAGAGAGAGAGAATGGGGAGGAGAATATAAGAGAAAGACTTGCCCCTTTGAGGCGAATTGGGGTATTCCTGGGCTCATTGACCCATTTTATTCCATTAAAAATGGAGGTTACAAGTGGGAGGAGCCAAAAAACCCTTTTACATGAAAATACTCTCCTATATAAAGATGATAGGAGGGTCAAAAATTAAATTACAATATTACTCTTGCTTTAAAGGGGTGGTACAAGATATTTTAGTCTTGAATGTTGTTGTGTTCTATTGGGTACCTCATTGACGCAGTATCTGTCATTTTGAGGTTTTTCTGTCGAGGGAAGTATGGGTTCCGGTGGCTGGTCGGGGGAAAATGTTCTTCATCAAGGGAGAAAGCTCTTTGTCTGGTGGAAAAGTCCTCCGTCTAGGGAAAGGTTCTCCATTGGAGGAAAATTTGGTCAATGGTAACCAATTTGTCGAGAATGGACAGCAGATTGCCTCGAGATCTGTACAGAACATTTTTTAGTATACATATGAAGTTCCCTTATTTTCTTGTTCATTAATAACAACAGTTGCGATAAGGATAAGGAAATTTATAAATTAAACAAATCATGAACTCCTAATTTGTTGAATGATACTCCCTGCTAAGCGTTTTTCACGCTCGGTCCTGATATCTTTGTCTTCATTCGCTAGATCTGTCTTCTGTCTGTTCGTCGAATTCCGATGGCCAGCAGGAGGAAAAGGTCAGCTATCAGAGGAAAAAACAGCTTTTAAATGAAAGGTCGGCCGTCTGAGAAAAAAATCGGCTTTTGGAGTTCTTTGTTCGTTTGACTGTCCTGGGGAAGAGTTCTAGAATTGCTCACTCTTGAGGGGAATCTTAGAGTCATTCGCCCCGAAGTTGATTCATACAGTTGTTCGCCCTAGAGTGAAGTCATAGAGTTGTTCACCCTAGAGTGGAGTCCTAGAGCTCTGTAACCCTTACGAAGTTTTTTCGCTGCTTGGTGACGAGTTGCCTTACACCCCTCGTAGAGCTTGTCGTTGTTGTGTGTTAAATTTTTAGAAAGTCTGAGGACGATCGTTTCACGTCCCTTACAGAGATGTCAAGTTCAAACCATTAGTCACAATGTGATTATAAATGTGGTAAATAGAAATTTGTGGCGCTTATCCAGCTTACAAGTGTTACAAAACCGGATAGGAGTGCTTGTAATTCGTTTATTTTTAGCTATAGTAGAGATAATATAAATACTAGAATGACCAGGCTAATGGTGCCATAGATTTGTAATGGGTGAAGCAACAATTAAGTTGTTGAGGTGAGATGAACCTGATTGGGATTAAGAAACAAAATAAAGACCTTGACTACTAGGCCCCAAAAAATAGAAATTGAGTGGATGGTCAGCCGACATAAAGTTTATGACCTGCAGCAGAATTGATCTATGCTCTTCACATATCTTCATGTCGGAATAAATTTGCTTCAGTAGATTGATTAGTACTTCGGGTACAGGAGAAGTCATTTTCTCTCATTTTCCTTTGTTTACCTTGGAAGAGTGGAGCAGGTAAATATGTTTAAGAGTGCTTCTTCTTCTCCTTCTCATGGGCGGAACTTGTTGGGCGCATTGGCACGTCTGGCAGAAGGTAAGAACCGACTTCCTGTAACTTTGAAGCTAATCCGAGAAGGTTAAGAATGGTAAGTGCAATGGTTTGTCGGCTAGAGCCGATAGTCAGTCGATGAGTTGATAGTCGGTCGGCAGATGGTTGGTCGGCCAAAATTGATGGTCATTTCTGGGAACTTGAGTCGTTGGAGCTTGGCGAAGGCGCTTTGATTGGCTTTCCATTATGCGGGTGTGTCGGTTGGCGTAAAGTAGTCGCAACTTCTGGTCGAGCTTGTTGTAAAGTAATCACAGACAACAAAGTTGATCCATGACATCGTGATCGGGATGCCTTTCTACAATGTTCATCTTGAAAATCCAACAGAAGGATTTAGATTTGTGGCGAGCAAATAGGTTCCCATCACAAAGCAAAGAGCTTTCTTTGGAAATGAGAACATCAATGTACTAGTCATCTGCTTGGGTGGAAGAATTGTTGCCGTCTTTGTAGGCGGCGAGGATGATACCGTCTTCCAGGTAAAAGAGGCTAAAGAGAGAGAATGGGATTTTTGGGGGACTCCAAGGGTGCTTGAGGAAGTCTATAAAAATCAGCTGGAAACTTGGTTGGCCAAGAAAATGGTCGGTCGACGGAGTTGGTCAGTTGTTGGATATGGTCGACTAGCAACAAGGGAAAACGACGGCAGTCGTTTCAACCGGTGAGGAATTTTTACCATTGCGGATTTCAGGATTGGGATCGGACAACCGGCAGATTCACGATCGCAACCAACAATAGTTTTAGGTGGTATGTTTGTAAATTCCCTTTAATTTTTTTCCCATGTTGTTGTATGTTTGGACAAAATGAAGTCGCACACATGATGTCTTCCTCTATAGATTCGACTATGAGTTGAATGGGTGGCCCAAAGTAGTTGGCCTGCGGAAAACTGGTAGCTACTTGATGTTTCGTCTGTAGAAATGGGAGTAGGTGAGAAAGTATGCACAGATCTAGGGGAAAAAAGGATAATCAGTTGTTGTGCAAGTTTCCCATGCGCTTTTTGGAGGTTTCTTCTCGATATTGCTCGTCTTATTGTCGACATCACGATCGATGCTCACAAAACCTTTTAGGATGTTGAATCGAAATCTGTTTTTTAGATCATGCCCAAGAAATAGAGCGTAAGAACCCAAGAAAAGGAAAAAAAAGAGAGAACAAGGAGGAGAAGAGGAGAGGAAGACTAGCCCCCTCGAGGCGATTCATTGTGTTTCCGAGCTTGTGGACCCATTTTATTTCATTAAATAGAGGTTACAAGTGGAGGAAGTCAAAATGCCCTTTTACATGAAAGGGCCCTCTTATTTGTAGATGATAAGAGGGTCAAAAAGTAAATTACAATATTACTATTGCTTTAAAAGGATAGTACATGATATTTTAGTCTTTTGTGTTGATGTGTTTTACTGGGTACCTCATCGACTATTGGATTTATCATTCTGAGTACCATTTTTTGAATATACATCTATAGAATACAAAAAAAGTATATTAGACATCATCATTATCATCATTATGATCACAACAGAAATGAAATTCACCAACATCACTTTTATATCTATGGTACCAACAGTATGAACATATGCACAAACCCAAATCATTATGATATAGTTTACAGAGTTTATTGTGTTTAATCACCCGCCCAAAGATCTTTGCCCCTTTCCTGAAATTATAAATAAATATTATACACGACCACACTAAAGTACATGTAGTTATTTGGTTAGTTTGATGTAAATTTATGAAGAATCATGTCAGGATGGTAGAGCAAATTGTGATCATAGAATCAAAATATTTATAAAGTCATAATATTTTAATTATGATTCTATTTAGGAATGTGTATTACTCATATTAAATTAGTCAGGTATGATATTTTTTTGTCATAAGATTGCCACATAAAATGTACAAAATGAAAATACCTCTGCCCATCAACTTTGCAGGCATTCTAATAGCTATTGTTTGCTTACATAAAAACTCTATCAATCTAAAGTAGATCATCCCTCCTCCAACCAAATATTGGGGGATTTATCGAATTTTCCCACAACAAAGCAACTTTTCTTAGAAGTAAGTATTGTGTTGTATAATTAAATCATTCATGTTATTTTGATGGTCTGTCAGATTACATACCTAATAATCTGTTGAAAAGAATTTTTGAGCCTATTCTTGGAAGATCATATCCTATGCACGATAGTAACAACAAGACATCTCATTAACTTATGTGGCCCACTCGAAGGATCACATCATGTCTTAAGTGAATATCTTTTTTCTTTTTAGTCTACTGAATGTTAGAGGTCATCATGCAACAATTCTCTACCAATAAGCTACAATTATACACTTACTTTGATCGCTCTACAATAGCATCCTTGACACAACTAATTTTGCTTATCTGATTGACATAATATATCCATCATGCATATAAACTAACAATAATGCCTAATTTTCCCAGGTGATGAACTTCATTGTCTAGTCTGGGAAGAGCTCCCCCTATGGGGCATATCTTAACCTACTTCTCATTGGGGTTTTTAAGAGTGCACATCTTATTTTACTCCTCGTCAAAGTTCTTAACAATCTTCAAGACTTAATTCTGATATCCTTCGACATGCCATACTTGTGAGGTTGAAACTTCTAAACGTTGATTCATTTGATTTTCATTGGATCATAACCATATACAACTTTATTGTATTGGCTAAATTATTCATTCAATGATTCATACCAAATTTGAACATCATTAAGCACTTCTCTGACCTTCCTGGCATGTCATGGTAATGCTAGAATAAGGGAGTATCACTTAAGTTATTCTTCTACCATGATCATTTATTGTCAACTTTAATATTTTGGATCCCTTTGCAAGAGACATCCCTCAATAGGGGTGCAAGCAAACCTAGCTTGAAGGAGCCTAGCCTTTATTTTTGTTCAGTTTGATTTGTATTCGTTTGTTCATTTAAGCTCGTATTCAGCTCAAGATTAGCTCACATTATTTAAAAAATTAAATATTTTCTTAAAATATAACATATATAATTACTATAAAAAACTTATAATAATAATATCTATTTATTATTTAATTAACAAGCATGAACAAACAAAAATTTATGTATTCGGCTCATTTATAAATCAAGCTCAAAGAAATTGTTCATGTTTGACTTATTTACTTGATGAATGAATAAAACACAAGCAACTTAGCAAACCGAACACGAGCTATTCACAAATGACAAATTTTTTTCACAATCCTTTCCCTTAATGTTGATCTTTCACTTTACATTGATTTATTCTCCAAATACGGGAAAAGTTAGCCCTTAAACTAAGCCTAATATTCAACCCCGCGCCCACATTTTTTCACATGGCTTGATGTCTTTTTCACGTGGCTATTACTTTGTTACCCTAGGCAATTCCTCTCTCACGCCTCTCCTCCGCCCCTCTCCTCCTCTCTCACGTCTCTTCCCTAGGCAACTCCTCACCTTGTCTCGTCATAGGAACATGACTGCCCCAATCCCTTTTTTCCTCTCTCACGTCTCTGCTCTAGATAATTCCTCTCCTCTGCCCTGCTCCCCTTTCTCCTCGCGTCTTTGCTCTGGGTAATTTCTCCTCTCTCGTAGTTGGAAAACAACTTCTTTGCCTTCTTGGTTTGTTCCCCTTGCCCTTTGATGTCCTCTGATAATTTCTACCCTCTCTTTTGTTATTATGCACTTTGGTTTTTGTGGTGTGTGGCTTTAGTCCGTGTGTGAATTGCTCTTTTTTAGGCTGTGGCTATGCTCTATGGAAAAATAATGAGTCTATGCTTTTAGAAAGGGGTAATGTTCAATTACATTTATTTTTTTTGGTGAACTTTGAATATTTGTGATCTTTGCGGTTTTAGCCCTTTGCTCTTTGTGGTTTCTAGTTCAATGATGTTTGTCGTTTCTATTTTTATTATGTTATAAATAACACAATAGTACACGGGCATAAATGATTTTTTAACATAAACAACTATTGCACAACTACACAAAACAAACAGACATACAGCTTCCTGGCACAGTTACCTAACTTTCTAATAAACTACAGCTGCTCCAAATAGGCCCTAAGTTTCATAACCTAGAGTAAATCAATATTTAATTTAAAATTGATCTGGTTAGCAAGCAAATATTATTTATGACAGTTGCAAATTACCACAAACAATCTTTTTATTGAGAAAATTAAGAAAAAAATATAAGAACAACATGATTTTCATTTAGGCAATGGCAGTTGCCTGGTTTGGTCCAGATAAATTAACTTTATGATTAAAAAAATAAAGTTACTTTAGTCAATGGTAATAACAAGAGTTTACTATAATTTCACAATGTGGGACTAAAATAACTTGATAGGCTATGTATGATTCATGCTCTACCATCATGCATTTATCAATTCAGCCATGACCAAAGCATCATTGACTGCTAAAGGATAAAGTAGCAGTTTTGTAGGATGGTGCTGCTTTGATCATGAAAGCATAATTTTTCAATAGAAATTTGAAGTTGTTGACCTAATTGATATTGGGAAAATTCAAACTAATCTTAAAGTGCTAATTAATATGATCTTTAATATTTACATGCATACCACTCAATTCCTATGTATTTACATATCTAACACCTGTAATTCAATTTTACATAAATACCCCTATTCTTAAGCATAAAAAGGTGGATGTCCTTCTTACAAGTTAAAAAAGTGGTATATTTTATATGATATAGAAGATGTGGGTATAAATGTTAGAAGCAAAGTTTGTGTTAGATATGTTAAATGCCCCTGTTTTTAATTGAACAATCTATTCTTTTTCCAAATATTCATAATTAGTGTATGATATTGCTATATTTGTCCAAAGTTGTCACCCAAAACAAAAGCTAATTGTTCTAAACTATAAAATACATGCACACATACATATATATATAATCTGTGTTTGACTCTTGGCAGAGTTTGGAAGACTCATGTGAGCATTGGTTCGATCCCGCTTATGTGTGGGATGGCATTCTTAGACACATGAGGTTGTTCAGGAGGCTCATATAATAGTCTCCGACACCAATCTAATATAAATATATATATATATAAGATGAAATAGACCTTTATATTATTGTCCAAAAATCAATTTTGTAATTAATGATGCTCCACAAAAGTCTTGTGACCTTTGGAAAAAGGTGTCCAAAATTTAATGCTAATGAATGAGGTTCCGTTTGGGGCCTCTTTTTTGAGGCTTCGCGGCCTCGAATCGCGAAAAATAAGCGTTTGGCTCGCAGTGTCGCGACACACCAAAGTGAAAGCGGGAGAAAAGCCAAAAGCTATATTCACCCCGCGGCAGAGCTTGTAGCTCGTGAAAAGGATCATTTTGCCCAGCCAAAAACCCTCGTTCCTCCTTCCTTGCCGCGTGAGTTCTTCTTCCTCGAGCCCTTTCTTCTCCCCCGCCGAATCTCTTACACACAAAAACCTCTCAGGGCTGAATTTCTTTTTTGCTTTTCTTAAATAAAATTATTATTTCTTTGCATTTCAATAATGTCATCTCATATATTATTGTTTCAAACATAATTATAGTGATAAATATCCCAAGATATTAAAAGATGCTTTTTTTTGGGAAAAAAAAAATCAAAATGTGATTTTTTTCTCATAATTTTTTCTTTTTTTTGCAAAGATTGCATAAAAATATTTTTTTAATGTGAAATTAAAATCAATTTAACATTATTCTATTTAAATTTGTTTTTTCGGGAAATTTAATGTTAAATTTTGTAAAACAATTTAACAATATTCTATTAAAAATTAATTAAATAAAGAAAAAAATTTCATCATCAAAGAAAATCTTATCCCACTCATTAAAAACCAAAAGATAAATTAAAATAAATATTGGTTTTTTGTATAGTCAACATTCAAAATTCGGTCCGTAAGCCTGTTTGGCTTGCGCGTTGCCTGTGCAACGCGGGCGTGGTGGGCTCCCAATTGTGGCATGTGAAGAGTCAGGCACAAGGTTGTGATTGATCTCTACTATTGCTCTCCTTTTTTTTCTCGCTCGGCTACCAATGAGATGCCTAAAACCCTAATCGGTCCTTAATCTCTCTCACAGTCCCTACTTTATTCTTAGTGCTTCATATGAATAGCTTCGGTTGGGGTTTTATGAATGATTTGTTTCATCACCATGAGAAGTTCACTTCAAATAATGACAATTTGTGAAAAATAGTTTTTGAAAGAAAATTCATCAAGAACTTGATCATTTTGATATAAAGACTAACATTATAATAATATTACTTGTTCTTGTTTTAATTACAATTTTGTGTTGTTTATTACTGTCAAGTGATGTATAACTTTTAATTTAATATTTTAAAGTTTAGTTCTGATGTTCTGTTTATATTGTTTTCTTAAACAGTGTACTTACAGCTACATTTTGAAAGGGCATTATAGTCGTTATTCTAAAAAATAACTGCATCATAACAATTTCCTAGCTAAATTGATCAAACAGACTTCATCAGTTTCTCCTGAAAGTAACGTTACAGTAGCTTCTCCTAAAAGCAATTTCACCGTTATGTCTTCAAACAGCTACATTTGTCTCAAACCGAACCTTAAACATACAAGAAAGAACAACACTATGAACTTTCGAGCTTCTGGTAGTATCGTGAAAACTAACTAATTGAGTTGAGAAAAGAATTTCATAGAGGCTTGTCCAACATAGGTAACTAGATAATCAAACTCTTGCATAGTGCATCCATGCTTCAAAATCTTAAAATTGGATTGGATTTAAGGGGGACATTGGATCATCCAAAAGCTACTTACAAGATTAAACCCATCAAACTGAATCAATTTATTACTATCTATGACCAAACTTCTTATGTGGATTTCAAAAGTTTAGACTTTTCATCTTCATATCACCATAAGTCTCATTGATCATTTTTAGCCACTCCAGATGTATCATATGACCAATTCAAGCTTAAGGTATGCGATCAACACACTTCGAAATCCATTAAAACGTACTAACAACTCTTTCTTATAAAATTTTATGACTCCAAAAGATTATTACTGTCTGCCAATTAGTCTGTCATTTGATCGTCACCCCGTGGAATCTGATCTTTCTCTGGCCTATCACATAACACGCTGTGTAAGTCACCACTAGAACTAGCTATCTGTGGCTCATGCATCACCATATTTCATGGAATCATCTCAAGCAAACAAAACTCCTATAAATACCATATCCATTAGAATCTAAATCACTAAAGTAAACTAAATTATGTGCATGCACATCAAAATAAATTGGTTTTCATGCAAGAAACACCCTCAAAAATCTTTATTTCACATGATCTATTTATCACATTTTTTCATGACATGAATAATTGTATTTATAGTTTAGATGTAATTAGTTTATGTTATGTACTCTTAAAAGAACCTCTTCCTACGACATGTTATAGCTATATCAAGTTTTATAACATTATGATTCAAACTAATTATGAAAAATTGCGTACGATTATAGTTATAATAATAATAATAATAATTTATTTTGTGCTAAGTTGCAATCATAACGCCATATTTACAATGTATTTGAAATTAAAAATCATTAAAGTACATCAAATAAAGACATTGATTCCTCCAATATATCTCCATCATTCGATCACAAG